ATCACTGACTCTTCTTTAGTACAGTACAACATGCTCTGATTCTGGGAGTTGCCACTGCAACTTCCCAGCTCTGAGGACTGTAACTTGGAACAATGAGCCAGAATACACCCGTTCTTCCTTAAGCCACTCTTATTAAAAATATTTTATCATAGAAATAGAAAAAAAGAAACTAAGACAGAGTTTAGTATTGATAATTGAGAAATGAAGCCATTGATATAATAGACCTGACTATGGGGTTCCTAGACATTTGGTTCTGATTTGCTGAAGGAATGTGGAAAAATTTAGAATTTTGAGTTTGAAATGTCCTTGAATACTTCAGCCAGAGTATAATGGGTTATAGTGTTAACTTGACAGAATCTAAAATCACCTGCAAGTCAGGACTTTGGGAACACCTGTCAGGGATTATGTAGATTAGAGCTAGCTTCTGGGATCTTGGAAGAAAAGAATGATAACAAAAATGCTGATAGTGTAGGCCTGGTTTGTGAGGTTCCAGAGGGGAACAAGGATTATGTGGGGAGTAGGGACAAGGAACATTTCTGAGATATTAGTGTCTAGAATCTAGCTTCATTCTACTTACAAACTGAGAACTTGGGTGGATTTAAAGGAAATGGATTAAGTTTTTTTTGACAGAGTAAATTTCAAGACCAGAGAGTGTTCAGGTTGGTTTTGGGAAGGTACCTGTAATTTGGATTGGATCAGACAATGCAAAAAGTATCCCAAGGGAAATTCCCTTGTCACTTTAGAGGGTGCATCCTGAGCTTGACAATGTTGTTCAAGTAGTGCAGGGTTTAAAGGCATGAAAAATGTGTATTTGAAGGAGTCATAATCCGTCATGTTAGTGGTTAACTGAAGCCAAGCACCATGCAGCAGGGTTGGAATCCCTTCAAAGAAGCCCTGAGATGCCGTTGTGTGAATCAGTGAAGGTGAAACCTAAGTCATAATGAATAATGCAAAACATTGGGGCTGCCTGAGCCATGGCATATCCACCAAAGAGAGGTTTGAGCCTGGGCAAGAATCTGTGTGCGCTGCATAAGTCAGAGCTGGAGGGGTAGAGCTAGCTAAGCCTGTGGGAACCCAGCCAATTTCATCATGAGTCACAGATATTGGAAATGGAGCTGTAGATCCTATGTTTTCCCTGCCGGATTTCGGTTTTGTATAACTCCTTGCTATGGAGGCGATTCTTTCATTTTGCAATAGAACTGTTTACTCTGTGCATTCTGTGCTGGAAGTATGTAACTTATTTTTTATTTCACAGGAGCTCATGCTCAAGCGATTTTGGAAGTTAAAAATATTGGAACTGTCAATGTCTTTGGGCACTTTCAATACCACAGTGAATGCATTTTACAGGATACAATGGCCATGAGCTGATGGAACAAGAGGGGAAGGTTATGAGTTACAATTGATGTGTTTGGGTGTCAAGTTGATGAGAGGTAAAGAAGTGATGCTGGGGTCAATTGTTAACAGAATCTGAACGTGACCCAAGAGAAAGGACTTCAGGCATACCTGTCAGGTGTTACCCATATCAGGGCTAGCTCCTGAGGATGTCTATAAGGGTTTGTCTTGATTGTATTAGTTGATATGAGAAGATCCATTTTAACCATGAGTAGAATCATTCATTAGGGTAAGTTTCTGGAATGCATATGGTGGAGAAAGAGGACTAAGCATGTACTCATTGATCTATCCTTCTAGTTATGGTCTCAAGGTGATGAGATGCTCCAAGCCCCACACCATCTTGATTTTCCAACCAGGATGGATTGTGACTTCAACTAAAGTAAACCCTCTCTCTCTGGCATTTCTTTTGTTAGGACATTTTATCACAGTATATGAAGCAATGATGCTGTGTTTACTAGGAGATCTTATCATTACTCGGTGTTAAGTCCAGTCAACTATTACTGCATTTATTGAAATGATTCTATAAATTAAATTTTTATGATGATGCATATTTTCATATTGATTACAGTTATAAAACTAAGATGCATTTCCTGGAGTAAATTTTATTTTGTGGTAATTCTATTTAAATACAAAAGAATCACTGCAATATATTTTTAACATTTAAAAATTAATTTTAAATTGTGTATTATGTGTCTGTGTTCATGGATCTGGGTACCCTAGAAGCCAGAACAGGTGTCAGATATCCTGAATTTTGTGAGTTACCCAGTATGAGTGATGAGAATTGAATTCTGGTCATCTTCAAGAGCAGTAAATGATCTTTACTATATTCATGAAAGATATTATTTGTATTTTTCCTAATTATATACTTTTGAAACATGTCTTGCAATAAAGGTCATTATAGGTCTTTTTATACCAGAAATTTAAAATTGTCCCTTTCATTTATTCAGAAGACAAGATGCAATACTTGTGTGGTCACTTTAAAAACTATCTGAAGACTATGCTTATAAAACTATGTTTATGATTATTTTACATATGACAACAGATAATAATTTGGTGGGGCACTAAAATATTCTCCATTGTGAAAAAGAAATAGAAATATGATGTTTTTCTGTCTGATTTTCTAGACTACTTAAGCACCTAAAGGAAAAGGAACAAGGTGGTTTCCCACACATTTTTACAATGAGAATTCAAACCACCTAAGAACATTTTAAATAATGGACCAATTTTCTTAAATAGATATAAGAAATATTTTATATATGTGTGTGTTAAAATAATTTATAAACAAATGTCATGTAAATTGTAATAAATTTACTTATCTCTTTTGTGTACTTAAGAGTCTATAATAATGCTATAACACTGGCCATTTGTTTTTCTTGTTATATTTTTATACAACACTTAGCTCTAGTGACACTTTTAAAGGATTTGTTCTGTTGATGTTCTTAAATAACTTTTGAACTGCTTCTCCATTCTATTTTTTTTGTTTTGTATTTAATTAATTTCTGCAACTTTTAGGTTTAACTTACTACATTTCTTTTTATAAATGAGAGCATAGCAAATAAACCACCAAAATGGCATCTTCCTGACTGGAGGAAGGTTTTTATTGTAGATAAGAGAAGGGAAACATCCAGAAGCACCTGGAAAGGTCCAAAGCAGAGAGAAAAAGATGCAGATTGGCCATGGCCAGCTCTAACAAAGCAGGATATGTAAACACCATATAGGTTAAATGTAGCTTAGGGAAGGAAAACCTGTGAACGGCATGGGGGTTTATGGTAGAGAAGGAGGCCAGAAAGGCCAGGAGGTTAGTGTGGGCTTTGAAATGTATAACAGGTACATGTGAATAGGAACCAAGAAATCTGGAGACTAACATGAGTTTTGGTATATAACCACAAGTGTAGGTCCAGGAAACAGAACCTGTTTGGCAAACAGAAACCCTTTCATAGGTTCCTGAGGAATGCCTAGACACGACACTTTGGCATTTCTTTTCTGCTTTCGTTTGTGATGAAACCCTGATGTCTACCTGTTGGGCAATATTTGTTTACACTGTAAAGATGTGTCTCTCCTTAAAGTACTTTCTGATTGGTTTAATAAAGAGCACAATAGCTATACATCCACACACCTTTGAACACTTGATTTTTGACAAAGAAGCAAAAAGTACCCAATGAAAAAAAAAAAAGAAAGCATCTTCCACAAATAACTGGGTGACAGCATGTAGAAGAATGCAATTAGACCCATATCTGTCACTCTGCAGAAAACTCAAGTCAAAGTATTCAAAGACCTCAACATAAATCCAACTACATTGAACCTGATAGAAGAGAAAGTGGGAAGTAGCCTGGAATGCATTGGCACAGGAGACCACTTTCTGAATATAACACCAGTAGCACAGACCCTAGCTAAGATTCCTAGCAATAGTGGAGAGGGTGCCTGGACTGGCCATCAACTCTAATCATACTGGTGACTTCCCTAATTGTCATCAGACAGCCTTCATCCAGTAACTGATGGAAGCAGATACAGAGAACCACAGCCAAGCACTGGGCTGAGCTTCAGGAGTCCTGCTGAAGAAAGGGAAGAGGGATTATATGAGCTAGGGGAGTAAAGGTCATGATGGAGGAACCCACAGAGACAGCTGACCTCAGCTCGTGGCAGCGCATGGACTCTAGAACAACAGTTACAGAGCCTGCAAGGGACCGACCTAAGCCCTGTGCATGCGGGTGACAGTTGTGTAGCTTGGACTATTTGTACTGCTTCTAGCAGTGGGACTAGGATCTGTCCCTGGTGCTTAGCTAGCTTTGGGGAACCTGTTCGCCACGCTGGCTTACCTCACACAGCCTTGATGCAGTGGGAGGTCTAGGTCCTACTACCTCAGCTTCATGTGCAATGCTTTGTTCAAGTCCACGGGAGGCCTGTGCCTTTCTGAATGGAGACAGAGGAGTGGTTGGGGAGGGGGTACAGATGGGAGGCAGTGGTGAAGGAACTGGTGAGAGGAGGAAGAGGACACTGCAGTTGGTATGCAAAATAAATGAAAATAATGTTAATTTTTGAAGAAAAGAGCATAATTGCCAACGTTAGGCAGGAGAGAATAAGCAGGACTTCTGGGCAGAAAGAGACAAGCTCAGAGGGGGCCATCTAGGCTCACCATTGCCAGTAAACTTGGAGCAAGACAGATGTGCCATCTTAAGAATAGGTAACTGAGTCACGTGGCAGAACACAGATTTAAAAATGATGGGTTAATTAAGTTATAAGAGCTAGTTGGGAAAAAGCCTAAGCTAAGGCCAAGCTTTCATAATTAATAATAAGTCTCCAGGTCATTATTTGTGAGCTAGTGATAGTCTGCCAGGAAAGCTTGCTACATCTACAATCTTTGCCTTTTGCTTTGTCAGCTTTTAAAGATAGGAAGCACCTATATCCTCTATACTGTGTTATAACTCCTCTTTATGATGATTCTGTTCTGTATTTTCTAATTTCTACTTTGCCATCTACTTTGATCTATGTATATGTTAGAAGTATATTTTTCATTTTATTTTTATTTCTAAATTTATTTTATAGTTTTATTTATTATATTTAAAATTTAGCTTTGCATTGTTTACAATAAAATGTCCCTTTTTTTGCTTTATGGAAAACTTTATTGCAACACCCCAATAGCACATCACTTTTTCTTTTCAACATCCTGCTCTGCAGCTTCCTTTGCTCTTTTTGCTCGGATGCCAAAGAGCCGGGCATTGGCCCGGGACATGCGAAGACTGGCAAAAGCCTTGAAGTTCTTCTCTTCTTTTGTGATAACTCTGGCTTTCTCCTTTTTGTAGACATTCCGGATGGGCATCACAGGTCCCGTTAGCTGGGTGGCCAGTTTAATCTCTTCAGCAGAACTATCTCCCTTCTTTGGAGCAGACAGCTTCCTGGGGAAAAGGATGAGCTTGGAGCGGTACTCCAGGCGCTGCACATAGGCCTGTAGTGATTCTGTGGATTTGTTTCGCCTCCTTGGGTCCACAAAGATGCCAATGGTGCGAGCCACTTTCTTATGGATACTGGCCACCCTGAGTTCTTCCAGGCTGAAGCCCCGGCCAGCTTGGACTTTGGTGTGGTATCTCACCGTAGAGCACCTCACGATAGGCCTGATGGGGCTGGACGCGGGGCAAGGGGCAATGTGGCCTGCTTTCGCCTGCCGGGCCTTGCGTCTGCGGATCTTTCGTGCCAGCTGGTTGAACCAAGTGTCCACTCGCCGCTGCCAATCCTTGTGGAAGTGGGGCTTCAGGATCATGCCATTCCGGCTAGGCGACATGGCTGCCTCCTGTGCAGGAGAATGGTTGAGCAGAAAAGACAGAGCGCTGCAAAATGTCCCTCTTAGTATCTTGTGTGTGAGCACTTGGGCCCCACACAGGAGGGCACCATTTGGGGAGGTTGTGTAAGTTCTGGAACCACACATTAGCTAGTAGAAGTTGGTCAATGGGAATAAGTCTTCAAGATGACATCTCAATGTATAGTTTTGCTAGTCACTGAGCTAAGCAGGTACTTTAAAGGGCATACTCCATGTCAACAATCATTCGAAGTATTCTTTCCTTTATCTCCAGCTAAAACCGTAGAGTATGTCTGAGCACACCCAGAAGACTTCCTGTTATCACTGTAGTCTTCATGACTTTAAAATGAGCCTGCTTGGGAATGAATCATTCACTACAAAATTATGGTTAGACTCCTAGTTCAAACCCTGGAGCTGCCATTGTTTGAGAGTATTACTTTAGAAATGGCATTTGCTCTCCTTGTCTGCTGCTGAGAAGGTCTTTTCTACTTTTCTATGTCTTGGGTCTGCTTTTTAGACTTTGCACTAATTAACATGTGAATCCATCATGCTCAACTAAAGTTGTGGCCTTAAGGTCCTGCCATTAAATGCCTTCCTCACCACTGTGAAACCATGAGTTAAAAGAATTCTTCTTCCTTCAAGTTGTTTCTGTCAAGTATTTTGTCATAGCAATAGAAAATTAGCTAATACAGTTGGAGCCTTTTATGTTTGGAGAACTAGTGATGAATAATGCCAATCCTTTCAATAGGATTGTGGATATTTAGTTTATGTCTAGCATATGATCATTTTTGTTACATTTTAAAATAGGAAGATTCTGTCATTGTTAAATGTAATATTCTATTCACATCATTTACATCAATTTTCAATTTCTAGCTCTTATTCATATTTTAAACTCTTGGCTTCTTATATTGAGTTCCATACTTTGAAATTCTCAAAGAGCATTTTTAGAGAAAACAAAATACAATGAGGACTAAATATGCCAGATGATATACTTTATAAGGTATGTATAAAGTGCATTATCATTTTTAAAAGCAGGTTGCTAGTGTAGGTAAGAATCAATGGAGTAGAGCCATGAAACCAGGGAGAGTTTTTGTAAAAATAAAATCACACTAATGGAGGGCAAAATAGGTCACTAATATAAGCTAACTGAATGAAAAGTTATAGGTCATCCCAAGTACAAGGACGCTTCCAATATGTTACAAATGTTAAAGACTAAATATAAAAATAACAGAAAAAAAGGATAAATATTGTCTTTATACTTTAGAACAGATGGGAATTCTAAGAAGAGGCCTTAAAATATGACTCACCACATGAGAATTTAAGGTTCGGTAATACCAACCCTGATCTTTCAAAACCAGTGTAAACAAACTTAACAACTTGGAAATGGATTGGAGGGAGGTATTTGTCTAAGACAGATGGAAATTGAATTCTAGTTCCTTCTATATCACTACAAAAATGTCAAGACATCAAGAAGAAACATGGGAACAAAAAACATGTATATTAAAATCTCAGAAGTGAAATATTAAATAACCACTAAGTGCGAACTAGTGCTCAATTGTCTGTGATCTGTGACAGTGAAGACTGTCCTAGTTTGTTTTTTGTTGCTGTGATATAATACTGTGTTAGTCACTGTTCTGTTGCTATGAAAAGACACAATGAACAAGGCTTGCTTACAGTTTCAGAGGTTTGATTAATCTTCATTATGGTAGAAAACAGGATGGCTTGCAGGCAGACATGGTGCTGGAGAAGTAGCTGAGAGCTACAGTCTGATCTGCAGGCAGAAAAAAGAGTGGCATTGAGCCTGGCTTGGACTTTAAAGCCTACCTTCAATGACACACTTCCTCCAACAGGGCAACATCTACTCAAATAGTGCCACTATCTGATGACTAAGTATTCACTATATGAGCCTATGGAAGTCATTTTTGTTCAAATTCCACAAAGATACACAGAAAGAAATTAACCTCATGAACTACAGGTGCGTGTTTGGATTCATTGGTATGTACTCTGCTCTAAGTTACTACATATTATGTAAAACTAATTTCCCAGACCGTGCCTTCTATCTCATAGGCATTTCATTTGTAAGCAGAATTTAACTCTGGTCTAAGTACAAACACAGAGACTGGGTGAGTCTTACTGCACACAAACAGTATCATTTGTTGTAGAATATTAAAGTTAAGAAAAGCTGGCTAGACAAGTCAAGGCTGGACATTCATAAGTAAGAATAGGTCTCCATGTGATTTATTTGGGAGCTGTGTAGTAGGTTCCCAAAGACCCAAGAGTAAGAGTAAAAAACAACCAACAACAATAGCTTGTCTTATACCACCCAGGAGGCATCGGTTGACAAAAAAAGGATACTTACTAAATTAATTTATCAGAGTAAAATAGTACCATATTGTGATAGATTGAACAAGAATGGCACTCAGGTGCATAGAGCTGAATGCTTGGCTGTTAGTGAGTGGTGCTACTTCATAGGGATTAGGAGACTTGGTAGTATTGAAGTAGGTGTGGCCTTACTAGAGGAAGTGTGTCCCATGGGTGGGCTTTGGATTTTCAAATGTCCAAGCCAGAACCAGTGTTTCTCTCTTCCTGCTGCCTGTCTGTCTGGACGTAGAACTCTCAGCTACCTCTCTGCCACCATGTCTGCCTGTATTTTGCCATGCTTCCTACCATGACCATAATGTACTAAACCTCTGAAACTGTAAGCAAGTCCTAATTAAATGCTTTTCTTTATAAGCATTGCCATGGTCATGGTGTCTCTTCATAGCAATAGGACTTTGACTAAGACATATATGTAATTGGAAATATTAAAATAACTTCAAGAAATTTAGACCCAAAAAGGCTTTGAACACCAGACTGAAAAAAGGTGTCATAGACTCTTCTGGACCTCACAAACAACAGGTTACCGAAAATGCAATAGCTGTGTCCTCTTAATCTGCCATATCTTTTTAATACCCAGTATGTGTTAAAAGAATCTAAGCAATAGTGGAGAGGCTGTCTTAAATAACCTTCACCTATAATGAGATTGATGTCTACCTTATATGTCATCCTAGAGCCTCTATCCAGTAGCTGATAGAAGCAGAAGGAGAATCAAAGCTAAGCACTGAGCTGAATTCATGAAATCCAGTTGTAGAGAGAGAGGAGTGATGAGCAAAGGGGTCAAGACCAGGCTGGGGAAACCCACAGAGACATCTAACCTGAACAAGTGGGAGCTCATGGAGCCCAGACTGATAGCTGGGAAATCAGCATAGAATGGAATCAGGCCCCCAAATGTGGGTGTCATTTAGGAGGCCTGGGAAATCTATGGGACCTCTGGTAATGGAACAGTATTAATCCCTAAAGTATGAATAGACAATGGGAGCCCATTCCCCATGCAGGGATACCCTCTCAGCCTAGACACATGGGGGAGGGCCTAGGCCCTGCCCCGAATGATGTGACAGACTTTGATGAGCACCTCCCATGGAAGGTCTTACCCTTTCTACGGAGCAGAAGAAGGATGGAATGGAGGTCATTAGGGGGCATCGGAGGATAGGAGAGAGAGAGAATTGGGATTGATATATAAAATAAGATTGCTTCTAATTTAAATTTAAAAAGTAAAAATATAATAATAACTTAAAAAATTAATAGATGGCGGACTCCCAACTGCTCAGGGACTTAAGTTTGTTCAGTCCCCACTACTGATGCGGCCTCCTGGAATTGCTATTCTGTCTGGACCTGGTTCTGTGCGTTGCCACTATCACCTCCACAGTCCTGCATCTCAGTTGAGTTGTTCAACTTGGCCCTGTTACTGGACTCTGAAGCTGTGCCTCTAGCCAGGGTCCTTGTCTACCTCCTTAGCAGAGAGCCTTGTATTTACATCACTATGATCTTTCCACCTATGCAGTCAGTAAGGTCTCTTTGGAAATTTTGTATCTGCTGGGTCCTCTTAATCTTTTTGCAGCCATGATGTAAACCCCCCTACCCAAATATATGCATACATAACCCTTGTGTGCATGTAGATACATTTACTGTATAATGTACAGTGTGTGATCTGGACATTATTAGCAGTAGTTGAGAGAAGGATAAATAAATCTGTCTTCCAATAGGCGACCATCCAGGGTAACCAGGGCTACTTGTCAAAATGCAACCACTAAAATAGCCTGCGAATTTATTGTTTGTCTTAGTTACTTTTTTCATCGTTGTGACAACATACCTGACAATCCATTGGTTATGTTTTGGCCTGTGTGTTTCCAGGATCCTAGACTTTTATTTAAGCATTTATGGGAATAAAGATGCACACCAATTTGTAAAGCGGTGGGAAATTCTATTCAAAAATGAAAGAAAAATACAGGTAAGAGTATGCTGCCATGGTGACAGGGAGCCACATGAGTGAAGGTACTCAAGGGTCCCATTATCGTGTCGGGGCTTTCTTTGTGAGATTCAAGAGAAGCGGGAATTTGGTATAGATGATTCTGAGTTTTAAACAAGAAATTTGATTATGCAAGCCTTTGCTCACTGTATGTTCTTTCTCATAATGCATTTGGTTTTAGTCATATTTGTGCCCTACTATTCACAAGGTGATAAATTTGACATTCTTCCTAACACCTAAAGGGAACAGTTTGTACCATTTCACTCACATGCCAAACCAGTCTAGGACAGATCACCCTACTGCCTATAGTTCCTAAATCTGTCCCAGTATGTATTTGAATAGAAATGTGGTAGTATAAAAAGGTTACTAATGGTACTAACATGTTTCTTTTTTTAAAGCGGGTATATGTGCAACCTGATTCATGTTGGAGACCCAGGCTGCCATCACGTAGCCAGATACACTGTTTGTAAAATGTTATGTAGACAACCTGAGCCAAGTGGTGTCCCACATTGCTATAAGACCAATGTGCCAAGGGACCCACCCTGAGAAGATGAGGAACAGAGGAAGCAGCATGGAATTGGTGCAAATAAACACAAACACGGGAGACTTTTCTGAGTGCCAAGGCTTAACTCTTTATTTT